AAATCATAGAGGGACCTGAAGCCTTCCCCATCACTCACAGGATCAGCCCATTTTCTGTTACAAATATCTTTCGAAAAGAGCAGACTCTTACAACACTGATGATAGGATTTGTGGAGGCTGCTATAAAGCTCTTTCTGCAAAACAGAAAGAGCGAGGCTGCTCGCTCGCTTTTTCTGCAAAACAACATTTTTTCATTACCCTGGAAATCACAGGCTATTCACGCCAGTATAAGGAGCGCAGGCTCAGGTTCTCCATTCTGCTTATGCATTGCTGCTGCCTTTGGCTCCGCTGGAAGCGTCGAATGCCTGAGTACGTGTCAGCTGCACACCATGGTGCTCTCATCAGCACACAATGAGCTCTGACTCAGGGGGCTGGAGCATCATCTGGACATAAACCAGACCTGCTTCATACACCTTGTCACCATCCTGAGGCCCATCACTGTTTACTGGCCACATAAGCATTGCTCTAAGGGGCAGACTTTTCATAAAGTGTACATGGCTGTACAAACAAGGTATTTTTGTGATTGCTACAATGAATAGTTTCAAATGGTAACTGTGTACCCAGATAACAAACTTCATTTGATTGTCTGCTAATGCACTGTATAGGTGAAACTCTTATCCTAAATTCCCACTTATGTGATGTGGTATTTTTTAATTCATTCATTTACTTTTTCTTCCTAACTTCCTGAGTCCCTCTCTGAGACTCTAAGTATCATTCAGTAAGATATCCACTGCTATCACAGGGATGAACATTTCAAGCACTACAAAAAGTAAATATTTGCATTCTGGTGAATTCAGTCCAGAGATGACAACAAAATACATCCATCAACGTAATTTAGAAAATATATATATTCCATAAACCATAATCATAAAGTCAGACATATCTAATTGAGTATTCATCAAATAAAAAGCGCTACATTTCATAATTGCAGTTAGGTTTCCCTAGACCTGAAAACTCTGCAACCCAAACAGATTCATAATGACTCTGCCTGAAAAAACATCACCCCCTAAGTAATTAGCCTCTTAAATGTGCATTCTCCCACAAACCTGGAGAATAACTTCTGAACTTGTGTTTTCCAGTGCTGACCTCAGAGAGCTTAAACAAGAGATATGCCTCTGGAAAAGAAATCCTCTGCAAACGCCAAGGAGACTTGAGCATGTTTGCTTCTTACTAGACTACACAATCAGAACAGAATAACTGTGCTGTAATTGTTAGCCTACTAACAGAAATCGAACTTCAAATAACTGTGCTGTCATGTATTATATTAAGTGGCTGAGAATAATTTTTTCTATTAAACTAGGCTTATCAGCCAGTTTGGGGGGGGGGGGCAGAGGAGAAAACAGAATACTGTTGTTTACTACTGAGATCAGAAGGTCCCTTATTTTTAAGAATTATGTTTTGAAAAATTGTCTCAGAATTAGTGAAGTAATTGTCTTACTTTTCCAAAATAGCTACTACACTACCCTGAAGAATAAAGTCGGAATTTAGTCACAGCAACTCATGAAAGCTGTCAAAGATACCAAAAGTGGGGCATGAGGAAAATTGCCCTCTAATTTCAAGTTCTTTTCAAATATCCAAATACTGATGTAGGTTTTTCAATACAAGAAAACAAAAGCTGTGTCAGCATTCTATATTCAACACACTTGGCAAGGACTCAGGAAATGTAACCTGTGCTTGGTAACATGAATCATGGATAAGAATTAAGGTCAAAATGTAGTCAAAATACTTTACTTGTTTTGCCATCCGTATCAACAGGAGCAGCTCAAAGTAACCACATTATAGTAAAATTTAGTTCACTGTTTAGAAGTCAGGCCACTTATAAATGTCTTATAGCCTACATTGTGTACTTTGTATCTAATGTTAATGAATATTTAAATATTTTAATGGCAAAGCTTAATTGTAAAATGTGTCATGCAGTAAGTCTCCTATTAATGGCTCTGAGCTGAGTCCATAGTAACTGTTACACATACTTAGGGGTTCCTTAAACTTCAGGTAGATTATAGAATCATAGAGTCTTGAGTTGGAAGGGATCCACGAGGATCATCAAGTCCAACTCCTGACTCCACACAGGGCAACCTAAAAGTTAAACCATGTATCTGGGAGCGTTGTCCAAGCACTTGAACACCGACAGGCTTGGGGCCATGACCACTTCCCCAGGGAGCTTGTTCCAGTGTTTGATCACTTTTTCCTAATATCCAATCTGAACTACCCCTGACGCAGCTTTAAGACATTATTAGGCACATGGAGCATTTTTTAACAGGAATCTGTGGCATGATGGGCACCTTCATGGTTTTTTAAGTGAAAAAATGGCAGCTAACAAAAATAGGGATCAGTCTAGCCAGTTAAACATTGGCTGGAAGGTAAAGTCATGCCAACTCAGTTTAGAAATAATACATATGTTTTTAACTGTGACTATCATTGACATAACCACTAAGAAAAACTATGCGTTCTTTGCCATTTGTAGGAGGATTCATCTGACAGAGTGTAGAAGCTTACAGTGTAGACATCCACATTTAAGCTAAGTCCATAGACTTCCCTTACAGACAACTGAGAAAATACACATTTTTAGGGTGTGATTCATCTCATCCTAGAGTAGACACCTAAACTAGGACAAATTAAAGTAGACTTCTCCAAAAGTTGTTACTTAATTGTTTTACAGGGTAGATATCCACGTGAGAGGAATCCTAACAATATATTTAAAATCAAATCAAGATGCCTCTATGAAAGAAGCTTTTTTAAATATGATTTACCAGGTTAGGTACAAAGGCAACAACATCCTACGGCTTTTGTCACCCAGGAGGTGAGATTAGTTGATAACACCATCCCTACTGCCCTGAAATCTATTACACCTAAAACTGAAGACAGGACAACTAACACCCACTGAGGAGCTTCTCGGTACCTCTATTTTCAGTTTAAGTACAACAAACTGACTTTTTTCTTCTGAATTCTAAAGGAGGTTTATTAGCACTTTTTGAAATTTTGGTTATTCCTAGCATTTTATTCAATGCAAGCATTTTTCCTCTGCACTGTCTTTATAGTCTTTCTTTCATAAGTTTTCTTATGCAGCTGAAATCATGAGGAATTTTCTGAAAAATAATGACAGTGGTAATGAAAACAGTCACAAACTGTGACTCTCAGAGTAAAACATACACCTT